TGGTGGTGGTGGAGCAGAGATAGATAAGGACATGCCCACAAGCTTTGCGGCGGTTGTGGTTAGCATACGTCAGACCTGAGAACGGAGTAGCTAAACGCACGCACATAGCTCATGTGGGCGCGGACCGAAGCACGTTGGTCCAAGCATCCCGGTGGCCAACTGGCTGATTTGCCGAAACCACAACAAAACTATCGTCCGTATATCTCTCCGATAATACACAGTTCAAAAATCATTCGCAAATCTAACCATATATATATATATTTATATGCCGAAAAATTCCAGGTGCAGCAATATGTATATAAGATGTTATTATCACCATTTCTCGATACGCATATATATATAGGCCTGCATTCGCTAAGAAAAAATTGCGTGCCTATAATATCTGGTGAATGATTGGAAATCACGAGTAATTTCCTCATATAGGCTAGTTTGCCTTTGCAAGAGAAGATAGTCACCACTTAGACATTATAGGTGTTGGCCTGATATTTTGAGTCCCGCCTCAGAGACGGTCGCCCTATTAAGGGATGCATGAGGGTTTGTTTATAACGAGGAGAAAATGCGAGACATCCACGCGAATCCTTCTCATACCCAGTTTTTTCTAATGGTAAGACAGTATAAATAAAACTGGAGATAGACGTAAACCGAAAAGCACAGGGGAACGAGGTCCCTTATCGCGGTCCATTTCACCATATCCATTAAGTCCCTGTGGCTGCCTGTGCGGGCTCTATAGTGAAATCCACTGCACAAGAGGCTATTCTTGTTCCTTAACTAGATCGGTGAACCTCCTACTATTACCATATTCCTGATAGTAACTGACAAAACCAAAGAGCCTGTGATGCAGAGGTTGTGTTGCACTTAATGCCCAAAGGTCTCGGGTTCGAATTCAGGATTACCCACACGTGAGAATAAGCGTGACTGTCTGATGACGGCTAATAAGCCAGAAATGGCCACTCTAGCATCCCATGTCTTTGTCGGTTCCACTTCAACATTTGTATGCACACAGTGGTAGATGGGCGCTCACTGATCGGTACGGAACCCACTCTTCCCGTTGTGCTTTGGGGTTCCCGCGAAAGACAAGGGAAACGGGAATGGCCAGTTCTGGTTTATTAGCCGTTATCAGCTAGCCAGCCATACCCGACCCCCAGAGGTGGCGACACCGGAGGGTCGAACCTGCGGCCTTTTTAGTTGGGTATGGCTGGATGATTACGACTAAAAAGCCAGAAATGCCCATTCCAGTCTCCCTTGCCTTTGTCGGTACTGTGTTTTTTCTCACAATTTACACATACACATATTCCCGAGCAAAACCGGCAAGACGACGAGCCCGTGGCGCAGTGATCAGCGTTTTGGACTTCTAGTCAACAAGTTCGCGGGTCCGAGCCTCGAGGGTCGCAACACCCGGGGTTGGCTATGGCTGGCTGATGACAGCTAATAAGCTAGCAATTACCATTCAGGTGTTGTAGCTAGTAACTATTTTGCCAATATGGTGCATAGCAACATATTGAGAGAGAATGCACAAAAAGCCGCTTACGCAGATAAAGTCTTCTTAAGAAAGCAACTAACGT